AAGGCTTTTCTAGAGGATAAATATTTTATAAATGTAATTTTCTGATTCTATAATTCAATACAGTATATATGAAACATGAATTATTTGAAATATGATATATGAAAAAAATAATATTAATTTTCACTTCACTATTTTTAATAAATATTCTCATAGAATAATCTATGTATTTAATTTCTAAAATATTAAGAATATTATATTTAAAAAAAAAATAGGTATAGATAATAAATTCATGTTTTAAAAATTATGAGATAAATAGTGTATATTTATTTATCTTATACCTTTATTTTTTCTTCATATTTATATTTAAAAATATAAATATGTATGCATATATATATATTTATAATAATTTTCTCATAAATTTATAATAATAAAATTTTCCGTAGGTACTATACTTTGTATCAAAATTATGAATATAAATAATTATAATAATAGTATTCATATTATACAATACATTCTTATACAAAATATATACAATTTTTAAAGTGATATCCCCTTTTTCTTTATTCTTTCTAAGAACAAATGTGATATATATATGCATTAACTAAATAAGTATGATATTACAAATTAGTTTAGATAAACTTATAAATGTAGGTTATGATAAAGTTCTAAAGGAATAATTTATATGTAAAGGACAAATTTTATGCAAATAAAACAACATACAAAGTACTTTAAAAATTATTTTTATATTTTATTTACCAAATGTAATAATTTATACATAATATATAAAAAGGAATGCTAATTTTTATAGAATTATCTATAAAAGCAAATATACTTTACGGAAATTTTATATAATATCCACAAATAAGATATGTTAAAATTATGATATTATATAGAAAGCTAAATATTATATCTTTTGTTAATAAAATGGATAATTAAATTTTACATTGGTATAAGTTGCAATTAATCTTTAAACATTATTATTCATCCTTTTAATCACCCAAATTAGTAAAAAACAAAAATATAAAATAAAGAATTACCTACCCATGCATAGCATTTAAAGAATACCTTGTTAATAAAAGGCTTCATTAACCTTTTTGGTAATAAAATGGACTAGCTATATGAAGAACACATAGTTAGTTGTTCTAACGAAAAAAAAAAAAAAAAAAAAAAAAAAAAATTATTGGAATTTTTTTTTGATACTTTTCTTTTAAAGAAAAAATAGAGATACGTAAAAAAAAAA